CAAAAACAAAGATTGCAAATGCTGGTCTCTCTGCTCTCACGGTCCTTTCCTTCTCCACACTTTCTACCGCACTTGACTTTCTTATTACAGTGCAAAGCAGCTGCTCCTCCTCCATGCAGATGCACAGAGGCTTCACAGACCTGATCTGGTAAGCACTGTCTCCTGTGTCCCCCCCCCCCGCCCTTCCGGGGACTCGCACCCTCCAGCTGTGTCTGCAGGGCCCTTCTCACAGTGAACATCACCTGTGTGGAAATGTTTTAGAGGAAAAGTAGGCTAATTGCTCCGCGTATGTGACCCACACTAAAATAGACAGGCTGATGATACTGTCTCAAAGCGTGTGAAAGGTCCTTTTGCATTTTATTGCATTATAGGGTCATGAGACTCAGAAACAAGGAGATTATTTCCTAGGTTTTGATTTTGTTGGGGTTTTAAAAAATGCCTTTTTAATTTTTGCATATAAGAACTGGGGTATAGGCCAGAGGTCTGGAGGAGGATAGTGAGAGGATTCCCCAGAGACAGAGTGGGGAGCAGAACAGGTGGGGTTGATTGAAACACACTGCTGGGAGGGGAGCAGCAGGAGAGACAGGAGAACCCTGCTGCGCCATATGTGGGTTAACTCCCTGGCCAGGGATCAACTAGGCTGTAGCAGTGACAGCACGGAGACTTAACCCCTGGGCCACCAGGGAGGCCCTTGGTTTTGTATTAAAAGCATATAAAGGCATACGTCAGAAGGAGAAAGATAGATACTGGATGTGTCATTTATATGTTGGAACATAGAGAAACCAAACAAAGGGTCAAAAAAAATGACAAAGTATTCAAAAAGCCCTTGAAACTTGACCTGAGAACTGAGACATCCAAATGAGACAGGGAAATGCAAAAACAGGGTGGGCATCCAGCCCAGGGGATCAAGGAGGACTCTGGGTGCACAGGTGGTGGGTGCTGCAGTGACTGCACCTGAAGGGAAGGTCCCGTACGTCCAAAACACCGGCTGTGGCTCACACAAACAGTATTTCAACAACAACAACAAAGTCTATAAGGGCACCGGGAAGTTACCCAGTGGGTCAAGAGCTAGTGAATATTAATCTTAGCATGACCCTTGTGCTTCCTTCGCCTCCACCTGAGTACTGTCACTTGATCCCAGCCAGACACTCTCAAAGTAACTGCACACAAGGTGTCACCCGCTCCTCTGATTGCCTGGGTTTATTGCCCAGGAGCAAGTGAAATGAATGTGTATTGAAATCATATGTGTCATATGAGATATGACAGAATTGTAAATTAACTTTTAAAAGAAGTAGTATAGGGCCCTCCCTGGTGGCGCAGCAGGTTAAAGCACAGCATTAAGAAGCTAAAGCCACTTCAGTAAGAGTTCGATCCCCGCCTGCCCCGGAGGTGACCCACATGGCGCAGCAGACCTCTCCTGACCCGCCCGCTGCTCCCCTCAGCAGTGTACTTAGTCGATCTGCCTATTCTGCTCCCCACTCTGTCTCGGGTGAAGCCTCTCACCACCCCTGCACCTCTGGCCTGTACCCCAAATCTGTATGCATAAATAAATCTTAAAAAAAAAAAGTATAAGTAGCTATGTTATTTATAGAAAAAGGAATACACTTTAGACCTAAGCCATTGAACATCTTAAATCTGTCTCTTTGCGTAAGATGGTTTCTTCGTGTTTGTCCATATTTATTTAGCGAAGCCTAGGGAGTCGTGAGGAGGAGCACTCTGTTGCCTTACACAGGGGGGCGGGCAGACGGGCTGGGGGCGGGGAACAGAACACAGTCAAAGGAGGCCGGCACCAGCGACCCACCCAACTCTCCATCATTTCTGTGCACTGCGGTGTACTCACCCCCCGGGCGGTGCTCGCGTTCTATCCCTGGGCTCCAGTGACACTGCCTCCTGTCTCCTCCCAGGAAAAACCTTTGCCCTGCTCTCATCGTGATCCTGGGGAACCCAATTCATGACAAAACCATCACCTCTGCTCACAGCAGCAGCGCGAGCGCCAGCCTGGAGGCTGACTCGGCCCCCCCGGGGGTCTCCTACCACGGCCGGGGCTCAGGTTGCTCCTCCACCGCACCCGCCCTGAGCGGGCCCGTGGCTCGCACCATCTACTACATGGCGGCGGAGCTGGTGCGGCTGGTGGGCTCGGTGGACTCCATGAAGCCGGTGCTGCAGTCCCTCTATCACCGCGTGCTGCTCTACCCACCGCCGCAGCACCGGGTGGAAGCCATCAAAATAATGAAGGAGGTAGGGTTGTCCTGTTCCTTCTTGTGCCTCCTTGTCGCAGACCTCATGACCCCAGAGACCCAACTGGCATGAGCAGGTTGCCAGCTGGTGACAACAGCATGACTCAGAAGAGGAATTAGGGTTAGTTTGAAGGGCCCTCAAACAAGAGTTTCTCTATTTTCTCCCAAAAAAAAAAAAAAAGAAAGCCACCAGCATTTTTGATTATGGGCTTAATTTGTGAAGGTCAAATTGCATGTGATTTTGTTATTTAACCAAAAAAAAAAAAGAGAGAGAGAAAGAGATTCTCTGGGTGACTCAATTATTTTAGATATTATTTCCTACTCACCTGTTTCTAAAAAGCTTAATTTGAATTGCTTCTTCGTATTGTTTTACTGAGATTTGATGGTAATGAGTAATGGAATGTCCACCTCAATGTTCTTAGAAATGAAGGAACAGCCCAGATATGAATGCTGGCTGAAAGACCTATGAACACACAGTGATAGCTGCACTTTTTCTTGCCTACTATATGCCAGGCACGTCACATGTAGCATCTTCAATATTCATAATAGCTTTGTGATGTTGTCCACCAACTTTTACCCATAAAGAGTGTTGCCGCTGTTCCTCCTCAGAGCTTCAGGCAGAGAGATCAAAGGGGGCAACTTTAAAAACCAAGCACACCTGGTCAGTGAACACAGGACAGCTTTGGAGGAGAGTGACACTAGCTGACGTCAACACCACCAGACAGAGTGACGCTCTCCTAGATACCCACCGCCCCTCTTAACTCCTAGTTGGCAGAAGCAGAAATGGGTTTCTCCAAATAGGTTGATCTCCAGGTAGAAGTGGGGGGAGGGAATGACCTTCCGGGCTCAACTCCTTGTCCAGAATTTACCAGTCAGACACCCCATCAGCAGAATCTAGAAGTGAGTGGAAGGGAGAAGAGGTCTGCTGGGTGTTCCTCTCTAAAGAAGCATGATCCCAAGAAGGAATTGTCAAATGATGGGCCCAGGATCACAAAAACAAAGATTGCAAATGCTGGTCTCTCTGCTCTCACGGTCCTTTCCTTCTCCACACTTTCTACCGCACTTGACTTTCTTATTACAGTGCAAGTGCTTCTAGTAGCCCCTTCTTGTTTGGCTAACCTGTCATGAGCCTGAATTGAAGGGTCAGGGTATAAATCCTGTCCCTACTGCTCACCAGCGGGGTTACAGTAGATGAATCACTTCACCCAGCTATAATGTTCTCATGTATGCTTCATCATCATCATAACTTCACTAAGGCTGCAGTTCAGAATGGAGTGGTTAAGTATAAAGTAAGTAAGTAGTGCACTTCTTGCTCCCTCAGGAAGAGAAAACAAAACACACCGAGAGCGAGAGTGGCTGCTGCCTCCCTCCCGCAGTGGTGTGCCAGCTCTGTCACTGGTCTCCTTGTTTCCTGTTCCTTTTGTCTCCCTGGATTTATGGCCATAGGTCATGGCTACCACTCCATAGGGACTCTGTATTTCCTCTCCCCTCAATTCTGACCTTCCCTGCCAGCGTCCACACACTTGTCATCCTTTCCACACTTCTCAGATGCAGTCTCAGCCATGGACTGCTCTGTCCAGCCTCTGTTCAGGTGCCCTCTCCTTCCACTGTTGACTTGCTCATAACAGAGCTGACTCGCAGATCACAACAGGCTGACATTGCTGGCACCTCATTATGCACATATGCACCACTGAGTTACTTACAGTCTCCCTTAGGAAGATAGCACTATGCATGGTTTCCATAGGGAGAAGCTGCTCGCCCCAAATCCTGTAGTAGCAGCACTAAAACACACAACCGGGTGCTCTAAGCACACCTGCCTCTTTGCAGTCAGAATGACTCTGCTTCCTCAGGCCACTGACGTGCTCTTCTGTCATCCTGCCCCACCGTGTAGGGATTGATTCTATGTCCCTCACGCTGATGGTTTGAGCACACAACGTGGGACAGGCTGCCATCCTCCTCCAGGACATAATGTAGCCATTGCTTTGGTGTGTTTCCCTCTGGTGTCTAACACTACAGTGCTTGACTCAGAATAAGTGGTTGCTAAAACTCGACTGAGTGACAGATACACCTCAAGGCCGAATATTTGCAAGGAGGGTAGTGTGTAAGCAGCAGCAACCTCTCTGTTCCCCTCAGAGTTGACAGGCTCTGGAGTTGGCACTGCCCACGGGAGAGCCACCTGGTACCAAAAGGCTAAGTCAACTTTCACCTGCAGAAAATATCTCTCTCTGAGTGAGGCAGGAACGACTTCTTTATGGCTATGCGGGGAACAAGTTGTTTCTCCTTCTTGCGTAGGTTTGCTGGCTGCCCCAGTTCTCTTTGCAAGGCTGGAATTAGACACCAGTAGCACAGTCAGCTGGCAGACAGCACAGGCCAGGTGGTTCTCTCAGGCACTGCTGCGGCTCATATGATATTACCAAGAGTTTGGGCCAGGTGGTAACCTGGCAACCAGATGGACAGGGTTTAGGCACAGAGAAAACCCCTGAGCACCCAGGTTGTTTATTTAGCCTTTTGGAGTTTGAAGGCTTTGTGTGTTCTTTCCCTGTTCTTTTTCTAATTTGTCACTCTGCTATATGGGCACTCTATTAATCAAAGACAAACAGGACATTTTGTTTTCCAAAGCACATTTTCTTTTCTGGTTCCACTTTCTCAGAAAGTGAAGCATAAACAAACAAACAAAAAATCCACCTTGCTCCCTTTCCTCCTCTCTCATCATTTGGCCCTGGAAGCTGTTCCGTCAGACCTATGACACCCCTCTCACTGTGCCAAGGCTCTCATTCACACCCGAAGAAGCGGACAGTAAACACATCTTGCCTTTTTTTAAAAATCTTCACAAGCCTTAGCACTCTGTCCTTTTTCCCTCCAGATTCTGAAGTGACTAAGAAATACAGATAAGTGTGGAATTAACATATCATCTAATGTATTGCTGAAGGTGGGACTAGAGGATCTAAGGGATCCCAGGAGAAAGTGAGATTTCCCACTCCTGTCTCCCTACAGTGCATTCACTCTATGAAAGAGGGCGCAGCTGGAGGCCTGGCTACTTCCCATGGAGACAGGTGTGGTGGGGGGAGGGCAGGGGGAGACACAGAGAGGTGAGAATTCACTACCACTTCGCTTTAGATCTCAAAGAAATAAAATGCAGAGAGAAAAGTAGAAACTTTATTACTGCCCCTCCTGGAGAACAGAAGTTCCCAATTCCTAGGAAAGAAAGAAACACAGAGAGCAGGAAAGAAGAATAGGTCACACTCAGCTTCTCCTGAGTGTGAATCACTTTGAAGACAGTGGGCACGCTGGGGCACATCTGCTTCTGCACACTTGACCCGTCTTTTGTTGAATTAATTTAGCCTCAACTTGAAATTTGCTGTCAAGACTTATACTATATGGGAATAGTTAGTTGAATGCTTTTAAAAATGATGTAAATGTGAACAAGGCCAACATAAGCAGAGGTTATTTATTGCTTCAATTGCTTATTTATTTAAAATCTAAGATTAATGTTCTGATTCTTGAGTGTAGTTGGTTGGGGAAAATGGCAAATTCAAAGAATTTAGAAAGGAAGTAGGATGACAAGGATAAAAATAGAAAGTAATGTGATGAAAAGCAAATATAAGTAGATCAATAAAGTGAAGCCTCAGAAAATTGAAAAAACTCCTGGCAAAAACAATCAAAACAATCCCAGGCTACACTAAACAAAACTGAGAAAAAGCTATGACTGTAAATGTAACAGACATTAAACAATTTCTTTTTTTTTTTTTAGCTGTAGGTGTAGATCATTACTCTCCTCACCCCCCCCTTCTGATTACCACTTATTGTAACTCTTATATTCCTGTTTTATTTGGTTCAGCCATTTTTTCCCTCTCTATATTGCAAAAGTGAAAGCAAACCATGTTTGTCTTTCTCCATCTGGAGACGTGTGTCCATCCACATTGTTGCAAATGGCAGCATTTCATATAATTTAAAGACAGAGTTTTAAGGCAATAGAGGCCTTAAAAAATGCCTTAAAAAGTTACTCTTCTAGGAAATACACCTTTAAAAAGATGGTTCAGGAAAATTAAACATCTAAGTAGCTCTGTAGTCTTCAAGAATACTGAAAGTTAAAGACTTTCCATCAAAAAAAATAAATAACTGACTCCATACTGACTTCATAAAAACAAGTTAACCAATATTCAAGGAATGGATAACTCTAATAATCATGAACTTTTACAAAGCATAGATGGGAAGATACTGCTTAACTCAAAGAGGAGTCTCTTTGAAGCTAGCCAACTTAATAGCAAAATAAGACAGAGAGAAAAAAGTTTTATTACTGGCCATTCTCATCTTAGATCATAGATACAAGTGCTTTCCAGTTCTGTGCTAGATAACTTTTGAAACAATTTCAAATCCTTTTCATTGACTAAACCAGATCTATAGTGGAGAACTGGCAATCCACTATGTACACCACTATGTCAGAAGCAATATCTGGATCAATTTCAATTAAGATTTGTAATTCCAAACAGTGTGTTTCTCCTTAGAGTATGTCACTCAGTAGTGGATGTCTATGTATATTTGGTCTCATAATTTTAATCCCTGGTGCTTTTCTATGATACTTCCCCTCACCATCTCTCCACACAGAAAAAGCCTATTAAAATATTGCAGATACTTACTTTCCTGTTCTGTGTTTTTGTTTTTGTTCTTGTTTTTGTTTTTTCTCAAAGCTACTTGGGAGCCCACAGCGTCTCTGTGATTTGGCAGGACCCAGCTCCACTGAATCAGAATCCAGGAAAAGATCAATTTCAAAAAGAAAGTCTCATCTGGATCTTCTCAAACTGTATGACACAGTCCTTTGTGTTCTATGTTGCTTCGTGAAGATTGAGTATAAATAGCCTTGTTTCCAAATCCCCCAAATGTTTATGAATCTGTTATATTGAATGTGACTAGTTAGTAATATATCCACAAATCACATGAGAAAGCTTTTCCCAATTTATTATAGTGCCTATAGATTTCCATATCTATTTAAATAAAATGCAGTGTACAAAATATGCAAAAATTATTCATTAGAGTTATTTTAGGAAAAAGCTTTTTGAATCTCACTACCCTAGCTGTAGGGTTACCTGTAGCCCTCCTAGAAATCTAAGCAATGCTTGGTTTGTAATGGATGTGTTCATGTGCATCTGTTCAGGAATGTTTATTTTATAGAGAATGTCTACATTACCTTATAGACAATGAGCACATATTGTTTCAAAAAATGAACATACGGCAAAAGTAGATTATTTCATGCCTGTCCTTGTGAAGAACATAAATTCCCATCTAGGATTTTTGTTTGTACCCAAATGCACTTCCCAACTGAGAGCGGCAGATAGAGAGCGAAGAGACTCAAGGTAGACCTCATCCCTGGTCTTCCTCTGCCAGCCTGAGCATGCTTGTCCCATGGATTGTTCACTTGATTTTTGCCCAGACCCTTTAATTTCATGTAAATGAGAGTGTTTTGAGTACTACACTGTCTGTAGTCTATACTGTATACTATTCCAGGTGCATACTTTCCGCTCACACTCTACTTTGGGTCAGTTTTTCCCTTGAGGGTTTTGCCCGTGTCTCACATAGTGCTGTGACTTTCTCCTCTGCCTGCTGCAGCATCATGGATGGCATGACAGAAGCGTGCATCAAGGGTGGCATCGAAGCATGCTACGCCACCGTGTCCTGCATCTGCACCCTGCTCGGGGCCCTAGATGAGCTGAGCCGGGGCAAGGGCTTGAGCGAAGGCCAGGTCCAGCTGCTGCTGCTGCGCCTCGAGGAGCTCAAGGACGGAGCAGAGTCCAGCCGGGACTCCATGGAGATCAACGAGGCTGACTTCCGCTGGCAGCGGCGAGTCCTGTCCTCGGAGCACACCCCGTGGGAGGCGGGGAATGAGCGCAGCCCCGACATCAGCATCAGTGTGACCACGGACACAGGCCAGACGACTTTGGAGGGTGAGCTGGGTCAGACGACCCCTGAAGACCATGCTGAAAACCACAAGAACGGCCTCAAGTCGCCAGCCATTCCGGAGGGCAAGGAGCCTCAGAGCAAAGTGTTGGAGCCAGAGGCTGTCGACCAACCAGATGTCGTCCAAAGGAGCCACATGGTCGCCTACCCGGACATAACCAACTTCCTGTCTGTGGACTGCAGGATGAGGTCCTACGGCTCGAGGTACAGTGAGAGCAACTTCAGCGTGGATGACCAAGACCTCTCCAGGACAGAATTCGATTCCTGTGACCAGTACTCAATGGCTGCAGAGAAGGACTCGGGCAGGTCTGACGTGTCAGACATCGGGTCGGACAACTGTTCACTGGCTGATGAAGAGCAGACCCCCCGGGATTGCCTGGGCCACCGCTCCCTGAGGACGGCTGCTCTGTCTCTGAAACTGCTGAAGAACCAAGAGGCTGATCAGCACAGTGCGCGGCTGTTTGTGCAGTCCCTGGAGAGCCTCCTCCCCCGCCTCCTGGCCCTGCCCAGCGTGCAGGAGGTAGACTCGGCCCTACAGAACTTTGCCTCTACTTTTTGCTCAGGTGTGAACAGTTTGTTTATTTTTACTATATAGTCAACAAGTGTTTTCGGAGCGTTTTGCCCTAATAGGCAACCTCTCCCAGGTTGTAGTTTGATGCCCAAAGCATCCTAACAAATCTTTGGGTGTCTGTTATTTAAAGAGAGCAAAGGAATGTGAGGCTTACTCGCGGCAGGTGGTGTGAATTGTACAGCAGTTGATGACTGAACTATAGATGTTGATAAATGCAGCATAAAAAGCTGCTTTCTGGCCCTCCCTGGTGGCGCAGCGGGTTAAAGCACTGCACTGAGAATCTAAAGCCACTTCAGCATGAGTTCGATTCCCGCCTGCCCCGGAGGTGACCACATGGTGTGGCAGACCTCTCCTGGCCCACCCGCTGCTCCCCTGAGCAGTGTACCTCCTCGATCTGCCTGTTCTGCTCCCCACTCTGTCTCTGGTGAAGCCTCTCACCTCCCCTGAGCCTCTGGCCTGTACCCCAGCTCTGGATGCACAAATAAATAAATCTTAAAAAAAAAAAAAAAAGCTGCTTTCTAGGAAGCTGCTCATGAAACAGAACAACTGTCTGATTCTCAAAACATGGAATGTGTCATATGCTTCCATGCTTTGATGTTTAAAAATTATAGAACAGGGCCCTCCCTATTGGCGCAAGGGATTTATGTGGCAGGCAATTGTTGATTTAAAGAAATAACCTACTAGGTGCATGCTTCGCTGGGTCAGTCGTCAGCACCCTGCCAGCTGGTCTTGCAGGAGCCTTGCTTGCAGCTCACACGTCTCTTGACGCCCTCCCTTAGGCATGATGCACTCTCCGGGCTTCGATGGCAACAACAGCCTCAGCCTGCAGATGCTGATGAACGCAGACGGCCTGTACACTGCGGCGCACTGCGCCCTGCTCCTCAACTTGAAGCTGTCCCATGGCGACTACTACAGGAAGCGGCCCGCCCTGGCACCAGGCACGATGGTGAGTGTGCTCTCTCCACTCAGAGCATCAGGGCCCTGAGAGGGGTGGCCCAGGGTGTTCTGTTCCATGCTGCTCTGGCTTGGGCAATGCCTGGGAGGCCGCAGAGGGTGGGAGGAGATGCCATGCCAAGTAACACATGCATGTTGCTGAGCTATGCACTCTGCAGACTGAAGATGCCAAGTGCCTGGAATTGGCTGCCTGCCAGTGACCCCCTGATTCACTCAGTTGTGTTCTTAAGCGTGCGATCACCATGTTAAGTAACATCAGAAGATGTTCAAGGAATGGTCCCCTTTCCTATGAAGTGTGCTGTTAGGACACTGTTCGTTGTATTCTAAACTGGATCCAGGCCTCCTGGTGACTCAGGGCTATTAGGCTAAGTGATGTGAATAATAAGGCGCATCCATAAGGTGTGGCCAGGGAGTGAGGTGGTTATTCTGGGGTTGTCTCCCGTGTCTGAGCTTCAGCCACTCCCCAGTGTGCTCAGTTCATGAAGCCAAAACCATGCGGCTTCACAGAGTGAATCAGCAACCATTTGTCTGTTTGGCAAATTATAAATTCTCGAGGGTAGGTGGGACTTCATGAGGTAAGTCAAGTATTTCTTAAATGTTCCTTCAAAGAACAGATTCCTTCTCTGTTCTTGTTGGGGCCGTGTGAAGAATTTGGGGGCGTTTCTAAGCCTCCCACACATAAAAGAGTAAAAGTACCAACTCCCGCTTCCTGAGTCCCTCTGCAGGGTATCAAGAGATTTAAGATTCCTTGAGTGAAAGGCACTTCCTTCCTTCTCTACCTCCACCCCCAAACACTGAGGTTTTGTTTGCCCCATGAGCTTTGGACCAACCAGAGTTTGTGAGTAAAGAGGAGAGCCAGAGGCTGTTCCTGTGCAGGGCTCGGGTCTGGTCATCTTCCCGCATGGTTATTGTTTCTGTAGAAAGAGTTCATGAAGCAGATCCAGAGCAGCGGCGTGCTGATGGTCTTCTCCCAGGCCTGGATCGAGGAGCTGTACCATCAGGTGCTGGATAGGAACATGCTCGGAGAAGCCGGCTACTGGGGCAGCCCAGAGGACAACAGCCTTCCCCTCATCACTATGCTGACCGGTCAGTGGCTGCGCCCCAGCTCTCTGGACTTGGCGGGTGCAGGGCATTACCTCTTTCAGAAAGCGTTCTTCCCAGCACACCTGGAAACAGCACCCGTGGCGCGTCCCTGGCAGTTGCATGCCATCCTGGGGGAGCGTCTTGCATGTGTCAGCTCACATGAGCTGCGTCGGGCTCCAGGTGGAACTTGTGGGTTCTCTGTGTCCCACTGGGAAGGGCCTGCTGAGCACCTGTGTCTGTGGGGGCTGTTGGCCTCTTCTGGGCTCAAAGCCCTTAACTGTTCCTAACAGAGCTCATGCACTAGTAGATACGCTATATCATTCTGTGCTTCTGGGAACTTATCAGAAATGCGGCTTACTGATTTAATCTTGGCTTCATTCCTGGTTCCTGCTCATGCAGGAGATGCCCCTTCCCTTCACAGTGGTGCCAAATGGTGCCCAGCCTCTTTGTCTCCAGTGCCCAGAGCTTTGAAAACCCTTCTTAACTATAAGAAACTTTGCATACAGTGTGGGGTATGGCCACAAAGCACTATTTTTGGGCAAAGCAATGATCTGCAGCTTTTCACGGCCTGTCAGGCCAGGTAACAGTCGGGCAGCACTCAGGAGTTTGGTGTGGGTCATCACTAGCCTCAATAATTTAGGTCTCAGGCTTGTCCTGTATTTCAGCAGGACTCCAGACAGGTGTCTGACGGAGTTATGTATGCTCCACGCTCAGCTGACAGCATACACAGAGCGTGCCTGTCCTGGCCACCTTTCCCACCCACTCTAGTGCCCAGTCCTCACACTACTCACTGTGGCTCTGTCTCCGTGGGCCACCCTGGCAGGGAAGGGACTGCCCTGGGCAGGATGGTCCAGGCAGGGGCAGAATCTGTTGCCTAAATGGTGTGTGAGATTGCCTGAGACAGGTGGCAGGGCTTTTACAAATGTGGCGGAGTAGACTCCAGATAGCAGAGCCCAACAGTGAAGAATTTGGGGTGAGGTGTTTTTAGGAATCAGATAGGGAGGTAAGGCTTACAGTGAGGTTTGTCCACAGCAGGCAGAGTCCTGGTTATTTGGAGATTTGCTTCCAGAACTCTGGTAGAATTGGGGGGAAAAGTCTGGATTGGAGATCAGGATCACGAGGTGACAGGTGACTAATTTGTATTTTATTAATCGTGATAACATTTCCATCCATTTGAAAACTAGGATGTCATAAGTGTGTAAGGCAGTTATTCAGTCTGCTCTGAGCAGTGCTTGGCCTCCATCTCTCTCCATAAACTCCCTTCACGAGGGATGGAAGGTGCTGACTGCCCAGAACTCACAGGTCCCTGGAATTCAGGTGAGAATCCAGACATGGCAGCTGTCACTTTTGTTTTTGTTTTTAAGATTGATTTATTTGCGCATACAGAACTGGGGCACAGATCAGAGGTGCCAGGGTGGTGGGGAGCAGAGCAGGCAGATGTATTGAAATACACTGTAAGGGGAACAGCAGGTGAAAAATGAGAGATCTGTCATGCCAGTGGGTCACCTCCCTGGCCAGGGATCGAACTCATGCTACAGTGGCTGTGGTGGCTTCATAGTGCTGCGCTTTAACCCATTGCAGCACCAGGGAGGGCCCAGCAGCTGTCATTTTCTGATGCCAGTTTCTGCCAAAATTATTTTCATGAACTGCTTACCTGAACTTTAATAAAACAAATCACTCAGTGGATGCAAAAATGAACAAAGAGCAGGCTGTTACCACTCCCCAGAGTCATCAGTCTTCACTACTAACCAACCATGCCTTTTCTAACGGAATAATAGCTCAATTTTCATGCCCACAGGCAAGTTATTCAACTTTAAATTAATGATAGAAAAAAAATAGGCTTTTCATAAGAATTCAGCAAAATAAGTTTATGTGATTATAGCACATTCTGGTTATGAAATGACATGAGTTTGAGGAGCACGAAACCGGAGCTGGGAATGTCCATCTGATCACTGATTCTGTACTGACTGGCTATTCCTGGAGCTGTGTGCAAGTGCCTTGTAGAACTGGCTTTTAGATAAACTTGACATTGCTTGAGCTCATCAGTGTTTCACCTAGCTCATAGGAAACATGACTTTGCTAAATGACAACTTCTGTTGCATGTCATTAAACACTTCATTCATACCTCTAATTTGAGTAAAACTAACTGGTTCCCATTTACGTAGCCATCTAGCATCTCCCAGTATTTTTCTAGTCTTGTAACTTTTTCTAGATACAAAACTAGAGTATAACATTGTATGATTAATCCAAGGCATAATTCAGTGTATAACTTACCACGTTAAGTTCAGTTTGCATCTGTGACATCATACTTCACAGTTAACATTTTTTTCCTTATAAAAAGATAAGAACTTTCAAGATCTACTCCCTCAGCTTTGCCAAAAACTGAGGTCTTGGGGTCTTGGAAACTTCCTAAAGAATCAAAGATACAGTGACATAATTTTCAAACACCATGCAAAGATGTCTCAAGCTTCTTGTGACTTGGGCTGAAGGGCAGAGTCCTAAAGTCAAGGAATAAATTTAAGGGCCTTTCTTTTCCCATTTCCTTTCCTCACTGAGTTCATCTGTGTTGGTGACATTCAGTTACATGTGCAACAAGGCACTGACTCCTCCAGTGGGCACTTCCTTTATGCTGAGGAATGTGGCCCAAGCCAACATTCAGATTAATGGCCCAAGCTATTGATTCAGATCCAAGCTGAAGCACCCTCTTCTCAACCACAAACCAGTCTCTTACTGCCAGCATGATAAACTTTATTTAATTGAGCTAATTGCACAGAAGAGAGTTTTTTTTTTTTCCACAAAAATATAAACCAGTAAGTCAGGATCCCGTATTGAGCTGGAGTATGGTGCCATGGAATGAGCCTAGACAGGAGTCAGAAGTCATGAATACTAATGTCATCCCTTTCTTTACCAGCCCTTGGGCAATTTACCAACTTGAATATGTCCTCTGTAAAATAAGAAAAACAGTATACCTATTCTAATACCAACTTGGAGTTAGTTGTTGGGAAAAGCACATGGAAAAAAATGTCAAGGGAAAACACTTTGAAAATGGATACTACTGTTATAGATATCATAGTAATACCATAATAGTAAGATATTACTATTAAACTGGAATCAGATGATACAGTTATCTGGCCAAAGAGACTTATTCTCAGTTCTTATGAGAAAGTTCATAACATGTTGAGCTCCCTGTTCTGCTCCCCACTCTGTCTCTGGTGAAGACTCTCACCCCAGCATCTCTGGCCTACACCCCAGT